TCCGGAACTCAAAGCTACAAACTTTCTGGGCATGCGTCGCGTTGAACGGCTGCGAATATGCGTGTGCGCAAAATACATTTACGAATGCGCGTTTAATGTATAACGGATGGTATAAGCTAAGCTAAAATTATCTAATTCAGTTAATGTTGCAGATTGCGTTGTTCCTTAATCTTCAAATTGGATTCGGCTTATTATTTTTTTGCAGACTATTAGAGCAATTTTATAAAAGTAAGCTTGAGCTTTCGATTATGTCAAATAAAATTTTCGATATATATTTACTAATATGTAAAGGATCTACAAAGCGAAAGTATGTTTCGAAGTCCATTAAACAAAAAGTGGAATTGCTGCAAAAAAAATGGATAAAGGCATATTCTTTGTTTATCTAAACTTTAACGTCTGTTTATCTAAACTTTGTTTATCTTTAACGCCGCAGCGCGCAATGAATTGGAAGTTGATCTGTCAGCACTATCCTTATCTTCAGGGCAGATGTTTTTATTTTATTTGGCTTATAATTCCTTACTAAATGTAGTATTTCATCTCGATGTACTCCGTCTTTGATACGATTTAAATCAAATTCCTCGTCATTATAATTCGCTTCCAATAGCGAAGAAAGTGACAGAGGTTATTGAAAACGAAAATATTTCGATTGACAAATTAGTCGGTATTCTCGACACAGCAATTATAGGACTTGAACAGCGGAACTTTGTTAATAAACAAGAAATTATGTCTGTTTAATAGAATTAAAGAGAAAGTATTATCACATGAAACGAAGCAACTTGAACAACTTACATTGAAAGAAATGTTTAATAAAGTAAACAAATAAATATTAAGCTTTTTCTTTTTGTAAATTTTTATACCCTTTAGATCATAATTGTTCTTTATTTCATAAATTACGGTTTCATATTTTTAATTTTATAATTTCTGCGTGCCATCTTACCAGATTTAAACTGATGATCTATAATCCGGAAAAATCGATAATCCAGAATCGCCGAAGTCCCGACGAGTCCGGATTAATGACTTTTGACTGCATAATTTTGTTTTACTTAATTTTTGAGTGTTTATTTGTAAATAAATCCACTTACTTTATAGTAAATACTATATTTAAATGCACATTTTCGTAATGGTTATTAACGGGATACAGGAATAAAATAGAAATATACTGTATGTTTGAATTTATAATTCAGAAAGAAAATTTATTTTCGAAATGTACATTTTACAGCTAATCTGAAAAATATGTAATCTTACTAAATTTAATATACAATTAAGGCAGTACCTTGCAAGTTTGCATGAAATTATTTTCTGGACATTGCTGAATTTATAAGCACTTTAATATGCAAGGAACTGAATAAAATGAGCATTTACAATCAGTGAAAAATCTTTTTAAAAATAAAAAATTCCTTACCGTCATACATTTCCAGATTGCAAGTACTATTGGTTACACCGAAAGGTCAAAGGTAAATGAAATTCTTCCAAAAACTATTTCTGACTTTAAGTAAAATGATGTTTACTTAAATGTAAGAAAGTAAAATATATTCCTTATAAGATTTCAGTATAATTTATCTTTTTGTATCATAAACTATATTATAAGTTTGGACAGCAATAGTTTATAGTTCCAGCTAACAGTCTGTAAGCATATATTTCATCAATTGCATAAAAACATATATTACAATGTAATTTTCTTTTTCTCTTTAGGATGCAATGCATTAAAATTAAACGAGATTTTTTTTACCTTCTCAAATATTATAACAGTAATGCAATTAATTTTAAAACATTATTCAAAATTAAAGTTTCCATCTCAATTTTTTATTATTTATTTTAGATTTTCTTCCTAAAATTATTTAACCTAAACATCTTAAATAATGGCGCAAATAATTTAAAGCGATTATTAAAAATATAGATAAAATATACAGGAAAAAAGGGCTTAAGTTATATGTAAAAAATCGAATAACTTAATTCGAGGTCGTTGTTTGCCGACTGCCAGCAGATGGAAATAAAAAAACACTACCTGCCATATCAAAAGAGTGCCAAACTGGCGATGAACAGCCTAAGCTATCACTCCCCAAGAGCGCCAAGACCATAATTCATGTGGTATATGTTGAAGACAGCCTAGCAGACGAATTCTCTGTGGGTGAGCTGTATACCTGTTATATGAAGTCGTTGCTAAGGACAAGCTGTCTGCAATAATCTGATACAATGCATTTGGGGAAAGTGCACCTGCTACTGCATACCTTAGAGGGAGGGAAGAAAAGGAGGTTACAATCTCGGCGGTTTTCGGGCAGTTCTGGTTGTATCAACGTAGGGCCGAGTCGGGCGGATTGAATGTGAAGGTGTTAAAAAGCAGATAGTCCTCCTGTGTTTTGCTGTATTCAAATTATCCTAACCTTCAAACTACGACACCAGTCGCACTAAATCAAGACAAAAGGTTTCTAAACAAGATTTTAATTCGGTCAGCAGCCCCCCCCCCGACGGTCAAGCGCTAAAACCGCTTATCACTGGTAATTCAACATAGGTTCAAATCCTGGCGAACGTGCTTGTTTCACGAAAGTTTTCTTGGGTTTTCTACATTCTATGTGAATTAAATCTCGTTCCACTTAGAAACACCACCATGACAGTTTCCGTCCTCTTGCACAGATTCCAAATCCAATAGATTTTCTGCATTAAACAGAATTACAATTCCTTTTTTTTAAAGAAATCTTAAGGAAAAAATTATAAACATCAACTCGAGTGGGATTAAGAATATTTTAAAGTAGTTAACACTTTGAGTGGGAAAGCTTTATTAATACATTCATAAGCAGCTGAAAATTAGAAAAAACTGTATCGATTTCTATAACAATCTATATAAATACATTTCCAAAAAATTCTGCTAAAATACAAAATTTATATTTGTAGAGTATTTATTAGCTCGATTTGTGATTATCTACTCAGCTTTTAGTTTTCATAACCTGCCATTCATTAGAATAGTAATTAAGTACTTAACCCTTTCACCATCCTCTCCTGTCCACAAAAATCCTCCCCCCCAGTGGCCGTCTGTTTTTCGTAACGTGTAATGTTGTTTTCTGTGTACATAATAACTTTCTATACATGACTTTCGTAGTGGATGAATGTCATTGAATAAGTAAAATTATAAAAATAATAAAGCATAATGGAAAAATAATAATATCTCTGCTTATTTCTAACAGCATGATAATTTGATAACATCTGATCCAGGCGGTCCACTCCTCCCATTTTGTTGTTGTAATTTTTTACAATTATTGTTTTTTTTTTTTTACAGTTCTTTTCCGTGTTCCAACATCTATCATCAAGTTATTATGGACTGTACTCATCAAACATATATCCTTCTTGTCTTTCCAACTCACAAACTCATTTTTTCTCTTTTTCTGCTGAGTAGACGTTGAAGCCATCTCTCACTGTCTTGCATCTTATGTAAAATGGCGCGAATATTCATAAAAATTCAATTAGAAATAGAATGCCTGATTAGTGCTGCCCTTTAGAAGATATTAGAACAAACAAAATAAAAACTCAAACAAATACACATTTAGAAAGCGTTTTAAACATTTAAAAGTTTTAAAATGTAGAAGAATGCTTGAAGGGCATTACGGCCGAAGTTTCATGTGAAACTTCCGCAGGGCTGACACGTTCACTAGACGCGTTACGGACGACGAAGAGGTTAAGTGTGAGTGGGGGGGGGGGGGGGGGGGCAAAAGAAAAATTTTATAGAAAGGATTATTTTTACAAAAGTTCAAATTTTCTATGCACACTGTTTATGGGTGATAATATAGTGTGGTAAAGAGTTTTATAAAATTTGATTTAGTTTTAAAAATTTACTTTTGAAAAAAAAAAATTTTTGAGCATATTTCCATCATTTTACAGAGTGCAAAATAGCTTTTGAAATAAAATTTGCATGAAATTTTTAACATAATTTGTTATTTGGGGGTGAATTTTTTTAAATTTATAGATCTTTTCAACTATTTGAGGTAAGAGGATTCTTGGAAGTAAAAGACTGAACCAAAAGGAGAAAAATAATTTATTGTATATAGATTAAAACGAATAACACATTACTTCAGCCCCTTTGCAATATTCCTGTACAGTTTTGTAACAAAAGTAGTAGGTTCTTAAATAACAAAATTAAATAATCAAATTACATTGTGAAAAGTATAAGATTTATAAATTTATCAAGAGATCCTCGCGTTTTTATTAGTCGTGATATAAATTTGTAGAAAAACTTTTTAAACATAATTATTTAATCTCGTGTCCCCATTAAATTGCATGATACATTAGTTTTCTTGTTTTAATTCATTAATGATTTTATGATTTATAAATAAAAGTTTATTTTGTATTTTTTTTTAATTCAATACCTGCTCTAAAATGGAAATTCTTAATTCCCTTTATATATACATTCAATTTGTAACTGGTAATAAATTTGTTTCTTTAGAGTCAGCGTAAAGCTTTTATCTCAAAACATCAAGACTTCTCTCCGTACTAATGACAGTCATTATCCATTTTCGTCAGGGTTGAGTGGACTCTTGTTCCCTTAGGCACTGGGGTGTTGGAAGAGATACAAAAATTCACGCTAATCTTTCTTGGCATAACTTTTCATCATTACAAAAACATGGCATGGTCCATTTTTGAGGGTATATTTAAGCTAACAATATTCTATAACAAACCCTTAAGCAGCCTCCATAAAAGAACAAGATAATCAGGGTCAACCTGTTAAAGGGTTAATAAGGTTTATGAAGATGATTAAAGAAATAAAAAATTTAAAAAAAAAGTTACATAGCTTTTTAACCTTCTTACGTTACAATTTTGAAGAAATATTTTAAATGCTATATTTTCAGCATTTCAATTAAAATACTTATATAATGAATAAAATATTTTTATTCTGGATATAAAAAATTAATGTCTTGGCGCAGATTAAAAATATGTGTACTTTTTAAAGTAGTTAAATGATATTGTAAGTACTTAAATAAAGTTTCCATTTAATAACAAAAGAATGCACTTACAGTTTCCATTTTGGATGTTCAGGAAATTCAGCACACAAAATATCTTTAGACTGATCTGTACCAATTCTGTGATAGTAGAGTTTCTGATTCAAATTTGCAAGGGTTTCTGTACCATCTGCCTTACCATCAGCCTCTGGAAACATCTAAAATAAAACAAACTGGTTGAAAAAAAGGGCCACTCAAATAGATCAAACACATCCATTGCTTATGTTGCATATTCGCAAAATTTACTAAACAAAATTTATGAAATTTTCATGTGATTTGATGTGAATTTTTAATAAATTGAAAAATTACAATTAAATAAATTATAAACAATCTTCAGCAATATTATGCAACAGTAGCATTTTTATTAAGTATTGAAATCCTTAAAATTCATTTTTTAAGATAATTTCAGATGTTTTCTACATATGCCATATCAGCAATCATAAAGCATATTTTGAACACTTAAAATGAAATGTTCAAATACACTGCTATGATTCACTCATGAATACTTTTTTAATAAACATAATCAATGTAACAAAACTGCAACATTAGCATAATCTGTCATAAAATGGTAATTAAGTTACATTTTACCCCAATAAAGTACTTTTGCATACTTCTCCATGTGTCAAAAGACCATTTCTGACCAACAAATAAATCCTTACATGACATGTAAACTGACAAATACACACTTCTATTGGAAAACGCTTCTAAATCACACACAGATTCATTGCATAGCATGAATGTATAGGTTATAAACATTACTCTTGTTTCAAAAATAGAGGTTAATACAAATAGAGAAAAGGCAGTTTTTAAATAATTCTTTAAAAAAAAGATTAATCTACAATGATATTGTTTTAAATTTATTAAATACCTAAATCTTTCCAGTAGCATTTTTGTTTATTGTGATATTTTTAACAGTTTCATTAGTTTAGTTTTACTGTTCAGGGTAATAGTTTTAGAGCTAATAGTTTTAGAGCTTATTTTGTGTGCAATTTGTGGCAACATATTTTGCATGTAAGTGTTTACTGCTTATACAGTATCGCAGATTGTTCAGTTCTAAATCCAATGTTTAAATTGTTTAAATAGCTGGACTAGATATGCACAAAAACAAACATGACGGCACTGGTGACATTTGGCCATTTACCACCTAAATAGTCATTTTCTACAAGTTTCAAAGAAACACATTTTTGTAGTAATACGGCTGATTTTCCCCAAAGATTTCAAAAGCCTATGCAACACCATATAAATATGGCTCTGAGAGTCAGGACAAGTAGTAGTTAGTCACCTTTAAGGATACGCAACTCAAAGAATGCTGAATTCCACTTTGGAGTTTAATCTCTAAACCATATTGAGAAGTTAGGATACTTCTTATATGCTAAGGAGAAACTGCTTAATATCAAAGTTTTCCTTGAGCCATTTATAGTTATTTATTTTGGCTATGTGCCGTTATTATTTATAACAAACTAACAATTACTTCATGTTTATTTGAAATCATTTATCATTTAGAGACATCCACAAAAGTATAGCTTGCAATAACTGGTGCAGAATTGTGGATCTCTCTGAATGCAGATAATCAGGAAGATGAAAGATCAGCTGAAAGTCATGATGGAAATTTTCCCTGCCAGTTGGGAAGAAATAATAGTTAAGACTGTTGACATAAAGACCTTGAGATAAGTGAGTGCCACTGAAATACCTCCATCAATGGAAATGCCACTGATATGAGGAAGAAAGTAAGGTCCCACGTTACTGGATCAACTGGTGGACACACATCAGTATGATTTCCAAAGAGCTTTCCAAAGAGCAAAGAGTAATTTATGAAATAAAGAGCAATTATGATCTAAAGGGTATCAAAATTTACAAAAAAAAAAAAAAAAAAACTTAATACTTATTTGTTTACTTTATTAAACATTTCTTTCAATGTAAGTTGTTTCGTTTTTTGTGCTAATACTTTCTTTTTAATTCTATAAACAGACATAATTTCTAGTTCAGTTACAAAGTTCCACTGTTCAAGTCCTGTAATTGCTGTGTCGAGAATACTGACTAACTTGTCAATCGAAATTTTTTTGTTTTCAATAACCTCTGTGTCACTTCTTCACTATCAGAAGTGCACATGGGTAAACGCTTTACGTGTATGTGCAGCGGACGCATGCATTAAAAGCGCATGTGTAAATGCTTTACGCGTATGTGTAAGTTTGTGGCTTTGAGGTCGGGATTATAGATCATTCCGGATAATGGACGTCCGGATTACGGACTTTGTACTGTATGATTACTATATCTTGCAAGGTCTTTTTTTTTGGGGGGGGGGATTCTTTTGTACAGAAATTAGTTAAATGTCTATTTCTGTTACATACAAAATACCTCTCCTCATTTGATTTTGTTTTATAACAGAAACAAGCTATGCGGCCAATGTTTTTACATTCAAAACAGACTTTTTTCTCTTTAGCATTAAATGCAATTGAATTTGTTTTGATGGCATCTGCCATTTATCTAGCTGTTAAATTTGTAAATGCTTTGCCTACAGTTGCCATTACTTCTGAAGCACTAATAAGATATAGTTAACTAGCTAAGTTACCAATCTTTTCATCAATTTGTTGTTTCAAAGAATTTAACACATATGACAAGTTTTCTGTTTTCCTAATATGGAAAGCTAAATTTGTTCCTTCTTGGCATTTAATATTTAAAAAAATATTCCAACAAGAGATATTTTTGCTGATCAGAATCTCTTTCGTAAATAGAACACAGTTTATCAAACATTATCTTTTGAACTAGATCAGTTTAATATGTGCATCATTGGACCTTTACCTATAGAAGAAATTATATATTGTTGAGCTTTTGCACCTTTCTCTATTTTTTTTTCCACGTTTATCACTTAAATCTTTGCTTTCTCTTACTGTGTTATACAAATCAGATAACTTAAATAATATTAATATTTGAAATTAGAATAAAATATTATTTTCCAACTTTTCAATAAATCTTACTCCATTTTCACTTGCAGCCAATCTTACTTCATTTAGAATAACTATAAATTCATTTAAGTCACCATAACCATGAATATGCTGTCATGATAAAAATTTTGCAACATAAATGAAAAGTATATTTCATTTTATATATTTTATTTTTCACACTCACATCACACAAGGCAGAATCGAAACACTTGACTAAACGGGAGAGTTTAGAACATTTTAAACACTGTTGCTCAATTCTACATAAATAATTACCCCTCAACACAAATAACCAGAATATTTAAGAAACTTCCCCCACCCCAGAAAGACTATGCAAATGAAAGACTTGTAAAGCCATTATACAACATGTATAGGCCACTGTTGCCAGACAGCTTTATTTAGAGACAATAATGCACATATGTGATGTTACAACACTGCCATAAGGTCTTCATCTTGATTTTAGGTAAACTGACCAACTCTCAATAAGCCAGTTTAGTTTCTGGTGAGAAGGATACAAGTTAACTATTGTTTATTTCTTTTCCTCTCATGCTTTCAAAAAAAAGATTAAAATTTAAGACCTACCATCTACAAACCATATGCAGTGGATAATTTGCAAAGATAGATGGAATTCTGCTTTAAAAAGTGTGCCAGGGGCACAACACGAGATGTCTGAAAATGAAAAAACATTGGCAATGAAACATGAAAAATTATAAGCCATTTTAAGTTGTATGCATTATTTTAATTTTCTAATGGTTATTTTAAATTTTAAAACCCTTTCCTTTATTATCTTGTTTCTCACCTACAACTCTCTGCTAGAATGAATTTTCAGTGTTATGTATGTAAATGAGGTAGAACCAGTATTTAATGGGAAGTTTGGCCATTTCTGAGGAACAACACAGAAGTTCTCAGTAGAGCGAGTGTATTCAGCCTTCTGGACACGTCTTTGCTTTAAACCTATCTTACTATGGTTAGCCATAATCTTTCGGATGTTTGCCAGTTAGGTTCAATTAAGGGCCAAGTCGGTTAGTTATTTCTGTACAGCTTCGGCTAAGTTTTAGTTAGTTACAATTAAGTTGCTTTCTTATTTTTTATCTTAAGTTAAAGCCCAAGTGGAGCCTTTCCTGTAAGCCCGAGAGGAGCCGTAAGTTTTTGTTCTTTGAGTGGAATAAAAGAGTATTTTAACTCTTCTTTGGACTTTGTTTCTACAGAAGTAAGAAGAATAGTGAATAATTGGTCTACGCTTCTCTAATTCTAGTTGTCAGGGACACATAATTTAATCAGAACTGTATACTAGCACCTGAAAAAAACAATATGAACCATGTCTCTGGAAAGTTCATCCTAGACTGCAAATACCACTGGCACCAGAAACCCCAATGGAAGTGTTTGTACTCAGCATTGAGACCATGCGGGCTGTGATGAAACCAACAGCGACCTATGACAGAAAAGCTTCCATAATGTTCTTCCTGGAGCAGTTGGAACTCCACTTAACACTGCATCTTGTTCTGGAACTACAGAAAGTCACTGTTGCCACAGCGAATTAAAAAGGAAGAGCACTCAATTGGTACAAGGGGATCAGAAAGTTCCTGCTGGGAGATCCAGCTTCCCAAACGTATAACCAGGAGACATTCAAAAACACTCTGCTAAAAGTGTTCCCAATAAAGAAAGACTGAGCCAAGCTGGAAGCAGATCTCTAGCATAAATATCAAACAAAGGAGGAAGAATTAGCAGATCTTATTCTCGTAAAATTCAAATACTCAATTTATTATACAGAAAGAGGCCAGACATCAAGTTACTCCCTGTTATTTTACTGCATTTGCTTTTCCTCATCCAGGATTACTTGGAAATGAGAAATTCAAATATGCTTGAAAGCCTATCCCAACTCGCAGTGAAATCTGAAAACCGGCAAGCCTCTCAGATAGCGCATATGGCAAATTTTGGCACTCCAATAAAAACCACAGAATTACAATATCCTTATAGCAAGTCTGATACAACCACAAAAAAAGGTAGCAAAAATATGGGCAACAAAAGAAAAGAATTTGGCGATCGATAAAAGGGGCAACAAGAGAAACAAGGGCCTAAGAACCAATGTCCGAGGAGAAGGTCTAATCATCCACAATGTGGCAAAATCCATCAGTAGTTAAACTGAATACTGACGTTGTGCAAAAATTGGCTTTACCTGAGATTCAAATTTTTCTAAATAACATTCCAACAGCTGCATT